CAGTATTACAATAACTTTTAACGATAATTAATCCTCAGTATTACAATAACTTTTAACGATAATTTATTTTAATGTTACAAAATACATCAAATTCGTGTCTTGGCCATTGAGATAATGCTCTTAATCTTGTTTTGATCAAAATCCATGTGGTCGCCAAAAATAGATCAAATTCATGTTTTGATCATTGAGATAATGCTCTTGGTCTTTTTCCCAACGTTCTTGGTGCATAAATAACGATTTTGACATGTTTTGATCAAAATCCATGTGGTCGCCAGAAATGCATCAAATTTATGTCTTGAGCATTGAAATAATGCCCCTAGTCTTTTTCTCGACGATCTTGGTGCATAAATAACGATTTTGATTATTTTGATCAAAACCCATATGGCAATAATTTAACATTTTTGAATCACACACATGCGGTTATCAAATGTGCACGTGATGTACTCTTGCTGCATCAAGATAATGCGTTTGAAACCTTTTAAAACTCTAAATTCATGTATAAAGTGTAATTTTTGCTACATTTTGCTCTAAAACTTTCGACCTATACCACAGAGAAGAGTTATATTAAAGTATTACACATCTAAGAGTCATAGGGAATAATCTAGCGGAAGTCCCAACCCGATACATGACCTAGGGAATGAAATATGTTGATTTCTATTATATTGAGCCCGTAGTTTTTCCTGTTCCCGATTCACTCGAAGTCCTATAACTTTTGTTCCTATTGAACCAGCTTCCTGAAAATCAATAGCGTCCGTCCTTAATGTCCAAAGAACCCGTACACCAAATTTCAACTCAATCGGCCACTTTTAAAAAGAGTTAGAGCGCACACGGACGGACGGACGGACGGACGGACGACAATACAAAACTATAAAGGATCTGAGGATCCTTAATAAACACACAATTTAGTGCAGCGGAGAGAGCCGCGAAATCGTTCAAAAAATTTCTTCGGAGTAGAAACAATTGGGACCCACACCATTTTGTTCAGAAATGTTTGAACCTTCAGAATCTCGCTTTACGACATTTTCCCGTGGTCCTGACAAAAGTTATAGGCCGCTAAAGTTGAACTTTACTCATTTTCGCGCGCGCGCGACTAGACCACCGAAAGTATTTATTTTCTCAGCAACTAAGCGATATACATCAATAATTCCTTTTGTAAAATGAAAGTACATTTATAGCAGAATCTAAAACATTCATATTTACCTACCTTGTTATGCACAGTTTTTAGAAAAATGACCGTCAACTTCCAAAATTCGTGTAGCAGATGAAAAGTGCGCACTTTGAAGTCTCATAACTTTTTATTTCACGATATCGATTTCCAATATTTATAGCTCATTCGATGCTCCAAAGCATTGTGATTATTTTATTTTCTATAACATTACCGTGAATTTTTCACTTATAATTGCACAAGAGGTTTGTATTTTACCGAGTAAATTTGGGTTGTTTAGGTAATGAAAATTTGTTGCCTAGCAATTAGACAAGAAAAACTGTCAACTAATAAAAATGCGACACCGCAGGTGGAGCATTTTTAGGTTGACAGTTTTTCGAGTTCAATTGCTAAAAGGAAACAGATTTGAATTGCAACAACCCAAATTTACTCGGTTTAAATACAAACCTCGAGTGTAATTCGGCAGGACAATTTAACGAACAAGAAATTCACCAAACTAGTCAATTATTGACAGACGTCAAGCTAATCATATGGGAAAGGATAATGCGATAATTGGTTCGAAAATGAATAAGTGAAAAAACCACTAGTGCATTTGTCGCTGGAAAAGTTGCAGGTAACTTTTGCCGCTGTCAAAGTGACAATTACACTGCGGCTTATGCGATTTTTTATACATGAGTTGAATTGTCATAATAAAAAAGTTACGGTAATTTAAGTAAAAACCTACCGACCTCGCCGAGTTGGGAGTCGCGAGTGAGACGGAGAGGGAAGGATAGTCAGCAGCGTTCGCTAAACATTGCATTGTAAAATCTCAAACAATTCATTAACTCCATGTATCTCAGTTCTTTAGTGAAATATATAGGTACAAATACGTACCTTTCCCTGTAAATTTTGGGGGTTACTCCACATTAGGTATCTCTTGTGCTGTGCTGTATATTGCAAGATCAGCAGTGACAACGGTATGATTTTGTCCCAAAGATTCAGGCTTGTTTTTTGATTTCACTAGACGATTGGTTAGGATGGTATTGTAGCTCGCTGGTGGAGAATTCAAAAACGGCATACATATATTGAATAGTAGATACCGGAACTTACTTAGGATTATCAGCATGTACTTAGGCTGTTAAAGTCAGTTATCTGGTCGTTATCTAGTGATAGGTAAACGAGGAATTTGGATTTCTTCTGCCGATGTATCTCGCTTTTGAAAAAGGACTGTGCGTTGAATTTTTTTCGTCTGTTTCCACAGAAGATGGACTACTTATTCTTATTCTGTGACTGTTTCCTCATTGATGTCGAAGTTATTAATGCTCACTGTGATAAAATTATCATTTTTTATTTGACAAATTTTTGTGAAATGTAGGTAGACACCCTTAGCAGAACATGTAATATTGACGTTTACTGTGCTTGTTATGCCACTGTCGGAGAACATTTTCTGACCCGAAAGACCAATTTGCAAATGAGTGTAACTTGTGTTTGAAAAATGACCTTAAGAAAAACTGTTCAACAATTTTGTTCCGTATGTACCTACACAACAAATCCGTGGAATTTTGTCAATTTTCGTTGTCCGGCTAAGAATTGCAGTGGAATTATTTTTTTCGAATTTTCGTGATTTTTATATTCAAAAACCACCAGATACCAAATTTCGTCGAAATCAACATTTTTTCGCACCCCTATTGAGGGGTGTGTCCTTTTGTGGTAGGAATTTTGAAAAATTATTTGCAAAACCGGAAAGGGCATACAGCAAAACCTATTCAAAGACTTACCACCAGTCTCTGTAACTGTTCTTGAGAAAAAAATTAAAGGAGAAATGGAAACTTTACCACTTTTTTGAGGGTGGCTCATAAACGAATACATGGAGTTAATGAATTGTTTGAGATTTTACAATGCAACCCGGCGGAATGCATTTGTAAACGGCCTAAATAACTAGTTTTGGTATTCGGAGAGAAATTTCTTAGTAACGTAGAACATCTTACCTACGCATCGCTCCTTGTTGCGCGCACCCTGCTGACTATCCTTCCCTCTCCGTCTCACTCGCGACTCCCGACTCGGCCAGGTCGGTAGGTTTTTACTTAAATGACCGTAACTTTTTTATTATGAAAAATTCACGGTAATGTTATAGAAAATAAAATAATCACAATGCTTTGGAGCATCGAATGAGCTATAAATATTGGAAATCGATATCGTGAAATAAAAAGTTATGAGAGTTCAAAGTGCGCACTTTTCATCTGCTACACGAATTTTGGAAGTTGACGGTCATTTTTCTAAAAACTGTGCATAACAAGGTAGGTAAATATGAATGTTTTAGATTCTGCTATAAATGTACTTTCATTTTACAAAAGGAATTATTGATGTATATCGCTTAGTTGCTGAGAAAATAAATACTTTCGGTGGTCTAGTCGCGCGCGCGAAAATGAGTAAAGTTCAACTTTAGCGGCCTATAACTTTTGTCAGGACCACGGGAAAATGTCGTAAAGCGAGATTCTGAAGGTTCAAACATTTCTGAACAAAATGGTGTGGGTCCCAATTCTTTCTACTCCGAAAAAAAAACTACCTCAAATAAGCGAGTTAGCGCCGGCTCTCCGCTGCACTAATTATTTAATTGGCAAAGACAAAAAATTTATTTCAATCATACGTCAAAAACACCTGAAATTAAGAGGGGCACAAGCCCGTTACATTTATCGCACATGCAGGTGGTCGAGACAAATAAACAAAGAAAGTTTCTTTGTTTCTTAGCTGTTACTCCATAAATTCGATGAATTCAGAAAACCACGCACCTGGATAACACGTGCAAAATTAATTTAAGAATTTCTAAAATCGAGAAATGCGTTTCTTTCGATAGACACCAGTTCTTTTCGTATTTTTATCTTCGAATTGAAATCTAATCACAGCAGTAAGATCGTGACAAAGGACTAATCATCCTAAGTTCTACTTAAACCAAAAACGTATAGAGCAAGATTATTTGGCACCCCCAAGCCAACTCAGTTCAACGAAGGAACCAAGGGGTGAAAAACCTCACCGGAAAATCTCCCAAAGTTTGGGCGCGAGTACTACCTCTCGTCTTCTTCAACCTCCGGACCAAGAAAGAACGCGGCTACAGGCGTCACTCCAAGCAAGACTCTCTTGGGATACGATCTGACAAGTCCGACAGAGTGGCAAACGGGAACCCAAGAACCTCCACCCACTGGCGAAAACCGCCAGGAGGTCATGCTGCAGGTACATCGAAACCAACACCCCTACAGAAGGCGTTAAGCCAACTATGGTCCCGCGGTCACCCAGCACCAAGTAGGGAACTTCCACCCCACGCCCCACGGAAAAACCCCACACCATAGATGCGCTGACGAGCACACTAAGGTCCACATTCACGACCTGCGATCCGCACCACCTCCACCCGTTCCTGGTGGAGGCTCTGCGTAGGAAAGGCGAAGCGAGCCTCCTATTGGTCAACGCGGCTCGTCCAATCAAACACCACAGTGAGCCACCCGCCGGAAATATAAGCAGCGTCGAAACCTCCAAGAAGCTCAGTGGCGCTGGGAAAGTCTAATTTATAATATCGAGCAAACCGAAAGCGATCTCGGCATTGTTAGGGAACGCCCGTAGAGTTACCCCTTTAGGTGTACATTAGACAATTTTGTTGGATCATCTCTGGTGTGTTAAATTTTTGAAAAGAGAATATAGCATGTTATTTTTATAGGGGTGTTTATTACAAAAGCTTCTTTATAATGAATTAAGTGATTCAAAAAAATTGAAAAGGATTTAAAACAAATTAAAAAGATTTAAAAAATCAAAAACAAAGCTTTCCTTACATATTTTTGAATGAATATCTTTGTAATTTCTCGTCGTATCAACCTTCTAAAATATGGTTTTATTCAGATTACCGAAAAATATCACATAAACCAATTTAACTGTTAACCAAAACAAATAAATAATCAATAACTAACAACCTACTTTTCCTTCTCTACCAACTCCATCATACGCCTGTCAATACAATTTTGCATCTTCACCGCAGTTTGTCCATGTGATTCGCCTCCAGGAACATGTTTGCAATCTTCTATAGCGGCCGCCGCAATTTCCACTCCGATTGGACTGTCGTCATTGGGTCTTCCACCAAAATGCTTGCGCGGAAAGAACTGAATCGACTCCATAATGTTATCAAAATCCAAGATGCCCTTTTCGTTTTGGAAATTTCTCGCTTTCCAATAGCAATGCAAGTATGTGTTGAAAACGTCATCGTCTTCTGGAAGAAATCTGGAGGAATCGTCGGTGATGATGGATTCAATGTATGATTTGTCCAGTTTCAATTCTTGTATGCACTTTAATTCCTCTTCACAAAACCTTGACTCATCTTTCACCGGAACTGCTTCGGCTATCTAACAATGTAGGTAACTAAGAACAATGACAATTAAATAAATGCAAGTACTTACGTAATAAATGCAGAAAAGCAGACAAGCACCGCTTATAAATTTCATGTTGATGCGTGTGTCCAAGTACAGCTGTAAAACAATACTGTTGATACATCTTACGTGTTGCACATTTTATACCTCATAATGTGTGCCCTACATGTCGTATTTTTCTTTTATCTTTCAACCAAATTGGTAAAGTACCGCGGTTATTCCCATCGCACTAACCTTACCGACACAGACGTTCTACGAATACTGACTATTTACAACGGTAAATTTTTAAGTTTGACACTGATGAACTTAAGCGATAATAGCAAGTAAATTGCCAATGTGTGTAAATAAATAATAATGATATTTATATCTCTGGGCATTAAAAGATCGTGCGCGCCAATCTTTCAATTGTACTTCTCAGGACTGCTAATGTAGCGCTGATTGTATAATTTATTTAAACCGGGAAGTGCAAAATTAGGAACCCTATCATAATGCACAATAGTTACTATATCATTTTAGCTTTATGTGTAGCTCGGTTCATTAAACCGTAGCAAAATATATTAATTTATGATTATTTCCACACAGATTACATTTAAATTTAGTTCACTTTCGGAAACACCTATGCATTTGTGGGGATACCCCAATAGTTCTAAAAAGGTGGTGAAAACCCTTGAATAGGTAGTTTGGGAAGTACGACCCAAAAAGTTCCGAAGTTTTTCACTAATGTTTTTCTTCTCAGGATCCATAAAGAGATAACATAGAATTGAGAATTTGTATAAATATTTCTGAAATTCCTACCCCAAGATGGTGTACCCTTAACTTAACTGGGTTATGCCCGTTTGCACCGACAAATTTAAGCGGAGCTTAGCTTAAGCGTCCCTTAACATCCATGGCAACCATTGTCTCAATAATGTTGCCATGGATTTTAAGGGACGCTTAAGCTAAGCTCCTCTTAAATTTGTCGGTGCAAACGGGCATTAGTTACCAATTTCATTCATTCATTCATTTATTCGTTGCAATTTTACAATAATATGCGGTCCCACTAAGTCACAGACTTATCAGTGGGTACCGATCATATTGATATAAGAATTTCACATTTAGGTTCACAAAATGAAGTATACATTTGAGGGCGTTGTGAGGGGAAGTGCAATATCAGTACTTTAATAATTGCGGAGCATAGTTTTAAGTTGCTTTATAAACAATTGTCTATTCAATGAATTGTAGTCAAACGTAATTTCATATTATACAACCTCGGTATAGTGCATTTAAGTGTACGTTCGCCATAATTATTGTAAGATCGTGGTACTACCTACATATTTCGTGGTTCTGGTATGATATTGGTGTTCAATTGTTACCTTATATTGATCGTTCTCAAAATTACTAATTATATGGTACAGCTTATAAAACCCTACCGGCGTTAATGTGTCAATTTTGTCTAGTATATCGTGTTTGTTCATGTTTTGCTATATCATTTTTACCACCTTCATTTGTATTTTATTTAATTTATTTATGTAAATATCTTCCACGCAACCCCAATTTTGTATACCGTAACGAATTAAAGACTCAAAAAGCGTTTTATACACTAGACTCATTACCTCTACGCATAGCTGGGCAGAATACATTCAAAAAGTATTTGAATACTAAATAGTAAATACTTTACACCAATCAAAGGTATTTGAATACTAAATACTTTTACGTCCAGCACAAGCGAATACTAGATACAGATACATTGAAAAGTATTCAAATACTTTACAATGTATTCGAATACTTTCAAAGGTATTCGAATACTTTAAAAAGTATTCGAATACTTGTCACTCAAATACATTAAAAATTTAAAATAGTATACTAGATAAAAGGCGTAATACTACTTAAAAATTCAAGTTATACTTTGTATGGGGATAGATTTTATATTTCTTGTTTATATACAAATTTAATTGGTTTCTAGTCTATAACTTTTGATTGAGAAGTCTGATCGAAAAAGTACGAATTGTTTTGGATTCTACGCACCAAAATTAATAAGAAAAAGTGTTTTCCCGAGAAATTTTGGAGTGATTGATTTTTGGAAAAAAGGGAAGGTTGTACACTGCCTTTTTTGAGCCCCGAAAAAAAAATTGTCTCAGATCGACCGGAAATAAACATTTTCTTATAGAATGTGGCCTGTAGAATCCATAACTTCAAACAGTTCCAAGATTGGGCTACTAGTTCAAAAGTTACAGCCTTTTGAATTTTTTTCGAAATTGGTTTCTAGTCTATAACTTTTGATTGAGAAGTCTGATAGAAAAAGTACGAATTGTTTTGGATTCTACGCACCAAAATTAATAAGAAAAAGTGTTTTCCCGAGAAATTTTGGTGCAGTCGATTTTTGGTAAAAAAGGAAGGTTGTACACTGCCTTTTTTTGAAGCCCTCAAAAAAAATTGTCTCAGATCGACCCGGAAAAAAATTTTCTTATAGAATGTGGCCTGTAGAATCCATAATTTCAAACAGGTCCAAGATTGGGCTACTAGTTCAAAAGTTACAGCCCTTTGAATTTTCTTTCGAAATTGGTTTCTAGTCTATAACTTTTGATTGAGAAGTCTGATCAAAAAAGTACGAATTGTTTTGGATTCTACGCACCAAAATTAATAAGAAAAAGTGTTTTCCCGAGAAATTTTGGTGCAGTCGATTTTTGGTAAAAAAGGAAGGTACACACACTGCCTTTTTTTGAGGCCCGAAAAAAGAATTGTCTCAGATCGACCCGGAAAAAAAATTTCTCATAGAATGTGGCCTGTAGAGCGATAATTTCAAACAGTTCCCAGATTGGGCTACTAGTTCAAAAGTTACAGCCCTTTGAAGTTTCTTTCGAAATTGGTTTCTAGTCTATAACTTTTGATTGAGAAGTCTGATCGAAAAAGTACGAATTGTTTTGCATCAAAATTAATAAGAAAAAGTTTTTTCCCGAGAAATTTTTGAGTAGCCGATTTTTGGTAAAAAAGGAAGGTTAAGTATTCAAATACTATGCGAAGTATTTGAATACTTCTCAAAGTATTCAAATACCTTGCGAAGTATTCGAATACTAAATATTTGTGAAAGTATTTGAGTTACAAATACAAATACTGCTTCCATAAAAGTATTTAATTACAAAGTATTTGAATACTTTAAAGAATTTGAATACTAAAAAGTACTTACAAAATCGAATACTGCCCAGCTCTGATTGGGAGTCTAAAGGGTGGTCATAGCACAGCGATATTGAGATGAACAGTAAACTTAGTGGGAAGTTACACTACTTTCCCCCCGATTCCTGTTTTAGATGATACGATCTATAGTGCTTCAGATTCCTCTATTTCTTTGTGCAGAAGTATGTTGGTACTGAAGATGCGTTATCTAATTTATCTATCGATGACAATATAATTGAATGTGTAACAGGTGGTCTCTATAGTAAAGCTTCATAATCATAGGCGAGAATATAAAGCGCGTTGAAACGCCACAGTGTTTCCGGTTCCAAAAACGTTCCGGACTAGGTATGAGGGACATACTTAATGACATACCTTCGCATGTATAAAAAACATCTCCGAAGCGGTCCGTTTCAGCAAGCACATAAGTGAAAATTAGGTGGGAGGGAGGGATTCTTCGCGGCAAAACTACGTAACTCGAGCGCGATATTTTTCGAGCGCGTATTGGATTTTTGGTCAGATTCGACATGAAACTATAGTAGTGCGGCATTTGGAGATCGCGAAGAGATTCATTTTTAATGTAAGTTTCGAACTAAAGCCGTGTTTTCGAAGTTTACGAAAGATTTGCCAGCCGCGTAGTCGTACACGTGATATTTTATTGCTATGTTATTCACCAAATCTTACGTGAGCAAACATTTGCGTGTTATTGTATTAGCGTTTAAATAAATTGTTACCACGAAAGCGTTGTGGCTCAAGGTGCAGAACGTTCATTGCGTGATAAGTGAACCCAAACCCAAGATATTGGTGATTTTTGTTTTCATGAATTGTGAAGTGAATTGTACCAGGTGTTTTTAATGTGTAATTGATTAATTACAAATACATAGATAAATTAGGTAAGTACAAAGAAAAATTAGATTTGGAACGTGATCACGAGATGAATAAACCGGGGGATAATGACAGATTTTCGGACGTGATTTCTTACAGTATGCCTCTTGGAGTATATTGAGGTGTGGATATTCTAACGTTAATAACACAACTATGAATGAATCACTCCGTGTTCTTCATATATAAAAGTTAATTAACTTAATTAATTAATTAATTAAGTAATGCCATTACGTTCCCATGCAGTTTATGATAACGTATGATCTATATGCTCTATTGGCATAACGAGTGGGACAGTAAAATTCAATGGTAAAACGTGCAGGCATACGCAACAGAAGTTGCAAAATTGTTAAACAAATTTTCGTGTATTGATACAGTATGCCCCTTTGTTTTTCACTTCATCTCGTAGATGTATTTAGGTAGTATATATAATTCCCAGTTACAACTGTAATTTACAAAACAATTTCCTATGTGTCCTATCCAGAGCTTCGTAGCATACTGAAGAAAATGACGGCATATTAGATATATGAAGAACACGGAGTGATTCATTCATAGTTGTGTTATTAACGTTAGAATATCCACACCTCAATATACTCCAAGAGGCATACTGTAAGAAATCACGTCCGAAAATCTGTCATTATCCACCGGTCTAGAATGACATTCATATTTTAGAGTACGAAAAATGTAAAGCAAAGTGGAGTTGGAACGATTTTATTTTTACCAAAATATTCAAACAAATCAATTTTCATGAGCATTTATTTGAGAGTGCTCAAATCAGAGCATCGGGTTCTTATTTTCAGATTAAAAGTGGAGGTAAAGAACCTTCCGCAAAGTAAGAGTCATTAAAAGTTTATTCATTATTACTGATAGAAATTAAAATTCATTTTCTACAAGTGGGGTGTCGAAGCCGTTACAAATGACAAAAACTACCTAAATTGTTTTTCGTCTTCTTGCCATTCTAACACCTTACCATTAATATAGTCGAAACCAAAACCATGGAAAACTTCACTTACAAAACTGATTCATTGGCAAGTTTGATTTACAGTTGCATTAAACTATTGATTGAAGTAATAGGTTAATTTTTGGTTTCGTCATACATTTGTACTGGCTAGGGAATGTTTACCTGACCTCATCAGAAATGCTGCCGCCTCCATACTCGTCGGAAATTG